ATATATATATATATATTAACCCTCTTGTTATAACTCATAAGAATACATATTAGGAAGAGCACATAGAATTATTCATTAAGAAAAGTAAGTGTGACATGATATATAAAAGGACCAGCTTGTGATTTCACTCCTCCAGAATGTGTGACATGACATGGAATGGAAGGACCGACACCTAGACATGCTTTTGCCGTGGCTGGGGTCACTGTGGTGTACTTTAAAAATAATTTGCGGAGGAAATTTAAATTGACATTTCCTTTGTAATTTGAGGCATTATTAATCTCGAATCATTGCTTTTGCCATCCTAGAATGTCTTCCTAACCGCTTCGTAAATTCAACGGACAAAAAGCAAAATTCCTTTGTAAAAGTAATTCAACAGAAGAAATGCACAACCATGCAACTGTGTTCAGCTAATAAATAAATTTTAAGCGACCAATTATTGTATCTCTATGATTAAAATGATTTGTTTCTAAATTATAATGCTTAGATATTGTTGTTTTCTATCCGTAAACTAAAACATATTTATTATACATATTTTAAATTATCATTTCAAAACATATTTATTATAGATATTTCAAAACTGAAAGATAAATTTTCATTAAATTATTATAGCTGCAATAAGTTTAATAAATTATTTTACTAGTTAAGTCTAGAAAAATGTTAGGTGGGCCCAAACTATTACATCATAGTTTTTTTTAATGTATTTAGTCTATGAACATTTTAAGGTTCTTTAAGTAAGTTCCTAAAAGAAAATTATAATTAAATATTTCATATTTTTATATTTTTTTAATTTCGTTTTTGGGGTTATAAATTTGTTTAGGATTTCTAAAATTTTAAAAAAAATATTATTGATATTACAAAGAGATTATTATGTAGTGACACATAATTTATAATAATATAATATTTGTCACTAAAAGTTATTCTTACCTATATTATAAATATAAATTTTTTTGGTATATTGTTATAAAATTATAGATATATGTTATAATGATATATAATATATGTTGTTGAATCTTATTCAAAATTAACATTAAAATTGTGTATACCTATATATCAAATAGATTTATACTTATATATATATATATATTGTATTTAATTTATAATGACACTTTTTGTATGTTATTGTATATAATATTTTTTTATGTAGATATTAAGAATATTATATAAAATTTCATAAATTGTAAATAAATTTTTGACTCCATGAACTAAATCACAAAATTATAAAAAGATGAAGGTATGAAGGAACAATTTACAAATTTTGTTAGTTTAGAAACTTAATTATAATTTTTTTAAAAAAATATGAAACAAAATGATGCATGAAACCAATTTATTTATTATAATATGAAGAATTAAAATACTTTCTTTTTAAGTACACTTGACCCACAATTTATGTTATACCATCAAATTATTGTTTATAATTTTTTCAAGCCACATTTTTCTTTTATAAAAGGTGATATTGTTGAAGTAAAGAACATCTAAAGCTTAATAATGAAATTAATTCTTCCAATTAACGCGAACATTTTTCACACACAAAAAGGTGTGTTTGAGTTATCCTTTCTTCACGTAAAATACCAATATGATGTGAGAGGGAGAATTCTCATTTAACATGCATCGGGGTTAACTAAATCAAACACACACTAAAGATGTTTAATTCAACTTGAAATCTTATTTAAAAGAAATTAATCAAACGTATATGATCACTTTAGGTTTAAATCGTCCACTCAAATGAATGGCAGTTATTACTTATTAGTAAAGCTTTTGCTATAACTGATGTATATTTTCTTTATGTTCCTTATGATTGTGTAAATCATTCACTCGTATGGAATTTGGGATGAGTAACACTTTTGCTATGAATGATGTTATTTTTTTATTTTTAAATAATCATATTATTAATTAGAAATATTTATTGATGAAGTTGATAATTAATATCGGTTGAAAATTTTGATTAATTACCATTAATAAAATTTCTTTTCATAACCATATTTTTTTTTGTCTAAAATACTCAAATTTTAAATTTTGTATAAGAAAATTCAATTCAATTTATACACTAACGATTTTTTGAGGTGTATTTTCAATATTTGAACCTTATGATTGTCTCGAAAAACTAGAAATTTTAACATCCATCGATCCTAACTGCATTCATTGGGTTATTAAAGGTAAGAGCAGAGGAACACATGTCAGAACAGGCACAAACTCTAGGTGCATGCCAACCTGCAAAGCATATGCGCATATGATAGAACCCTCCCTCATTTTCCTCGAGCAAAATTGGTCTCTAGGTGCATATTCCCATAAACTATAGGTTTTAGTTATATTTCTAAAATATATATACGTAAAGAACAAATGTGATCGTATCCGCGAACATATCCTTGTAATAAATTTTATAGAAACTTTCTGGATTGGTTAGATGATGTTGCATATTTTCCCCACAGGAATCGCAATTTTTGGGATTCATAAACCATATCAGTAGCTGAGATGATGTTTTTGTCCATACTGAATCCATGCGTAAGAAAAAAGATATAAAATCGTATATACTAGCTAGTCATGAATTAATATTTAATAACCATATATATCAAGTTGGCAAGAAGATAAATCCAAAGTGAAGAGGGTCGACACAAAACCGGATTCGTTTAGAAAATTAACACGAATGCTAGATTCTATAGAGATGCATGTGCATATATATGTAACTAGGGTCTAGGACTCTAGGGGAATTAGGGGAGAATGAAATCGCTATTCAAATATGGGCTAGAACTTTTCAGGTGTGTGTGTAAGTAAGTGATTTCAAGTCATGGATGTAAAGATGGAGGCATATCTGCCATACCATCTCCATGATTACTGTCCTGCTTAAAAAA